GGCTTCTGTACTGCATATTTTACATTTTGTCTGCATCACTGATCACAGTCAAAGTTTCTCTGACCTTCCACTTCGAACATTACTTGGTACTTTACAATTAACGAAATCTCTGATTTGCTTCGAAATAATCCCAATTACCAGTCTTTTTTTTTACTTCCCCCCCGGTGTGCCATTAAAGGCAACATCTTTTATTCTCTATAAACATGGTCACGAGTTGTTGTTTGTTATTTCACTTCTTGCTCAGCTATTACAGGTAGTAACTTATCTCTAACCTAAGTTTGGAAATATCGGAATACTGTACATTGGCTCGCTTTATTTAGAATCTTTTTCAGTTGGATCAGAGCGGATAGAACGTTGATTTGTGATAATTTTCTCTTCTTTTTATGCAGCACAGAATACTTTTTGTTTTTGATAAGTGAGTTGCATGATCTCGTGGCGCCACAAGTATGGACTAATTATAGAAGGGTGACAATGTCATAGGTACGTAAGTAATGGTTCTCACGGCTAACAGTTTGGCATTTTGCGGCTAACGTTTAATTTCCTTCCTTTGTGATTAAAAGAAAAATTTCAAAGGTTAACTTTTTTTCAAATACCGTTTAATGGCTGACGGTTAACTCCACTAAGAGTCTCTAATTGAAGACCTTTGATACGCAGCCCAAGCACGTGCATAATTTGTTTATCATCGAGGCGTCAGGGATTGACAGCACGTTTGGCAGAAGTTTTCAAAGCCACACATTGACTAATACTGAAACAGTAGAATTTGTGAACCAGGTTTCAAAACTCTGATGCCGGAATGAGTCAATCAGTGCCGGTAGAGGGCGGATTGGCCTGTTTCAGAATTTATCAAGTTAGGCGTTGTTGATCCAGCGTGAAGTTCACAAAACATTTGTTAAAAAACATTAACAGCGGCATCTTGACAGTGCATGCTTATTCATGTAAGACTAACTAACGCCGGGAAAATAATATCCTATGGATTTCTCATCGGTATACCAATAAGCCCGAAAGGGAAATGATATGCCCAAAAATGGCGAAACTCGTCCTTTTTTTTCCTTAAAAAATTTGATCTCTGTTTTTGGCAACTACATGGATGTAAAAACAGTCGTTGCCGCATATTTTCTTTTCTTCAACTTCTTAAAAAAAAAACATTGGACGTGATGACGACTTTGATCAAGCTAAAGGTATTTATTTTTCTCCGTTTTGTTGTCAAGAACAAAGTGAGCAAGCCTTGGCTGGCAAGATGTGCCCTTGTAGCAAGTTTAAGTAGCCAGCCAGAACCGCTGTATCTCGCTTACGAAGCAGCGCAAGTAAATACCTTTCCTTTGCGCGAACAAACAAATCACTTTTCAAAACAGTTCAACTTCGTCATGAAGAAGAAAAGATTTTTTTGTCGTTTGGTGCCGATTGCATTCAAAGGGATTGAGACAGATTTGAAATATGAGGGTTAACTCTTTCATTCCCAGGCTGCTAAAGAATAAATATCTTCTAACAATGTCAACACGTAGAAAGTTTAGGAGACGCAACAAAAATATCAACTATGGAATATATTATATTGCTGAAGAACCAATTTTTCAGATATATAAAATTGCATGTACAAGAAATGGAAGGTTAACAATGAGGAGATTTGTTTTTTTAATCTTGGGAGTGAAAGGATGAAAGAGGGTAGACTCCTCAATTTTCTTGGGTGTTAGTTCGCGCCTTTCCCTTCAAGGTTCTTATTTTACTTATTCCTTGATATCCTGTATATAGTGTTCCTCCAATTCTTGTCCAGTGTAGATTTAAAGACTTTTAAGGATAAGAACGTGAAGATTTTGGAGGCAAAGATACATAAAGTTTACATTGAAATGCTTTTTGAGTGTGAAGTAATGGACGATGGTATGCGTAAGGTCTGGGATCGATTCAGCGTGGAGGAACACAGAAATTTCCCTCCGCTCCACGTCCGTGACTAAAACATTTACATATTTACACATGGAGATTATGTTTTTGATTTCTCCTCACAGCATGGATTGGCGCCATGGCCATGGGTCTAAACTTCTTTTTTGGTCCTATATCAAGTGCATTGTGTGATCGTTTTGGATGCCGTGTTGTGTCCTTTGCTGGTGCGTTACTATCCGTCTCAGGGTTGTTCCTAACCTCCTTCATACAGGAAGTTCATAAGATGTATGTGACCTACGGACTTGTATGGGGAATAGGTTCTAGTTTCTCCTTTGTGTCGTCCATCGTTGTCCTGGGTCAATACTTTGATAGAAGATTGGCGCTTGCCAATGGGATTGCAACATCCGGAAGTGGGGTAGGCTCTCTTGTTGCCGGGCCGGTCATAAATTACCTATTGGCATCAGTCGGATGGAAACACTCCATGCGCATTTTGAGCGCGTTTGCTGGACTGTTATGGATTGCAGCTATGATCTTTAAACCAAGGAAAAATCTTCAGTCTACCAAGGAAAGAAGATGTACCAAGTTATTTGATACTTCAATATGGAAGAGTAAAGCGTACGTTTTGTGGGTCACTACTGTAGCTGTGTTTCAATTTGGTTATCTCATTCCATTTATTCACCTGGTAAGTTGTATCGCTATTTGTTTAATACGCAACAAAATTTCTCTTTCCTGATTGGTCGGTGACAAATACATAAAAGGTTATAGACTGCCCTTCGGGATCTTCCTAATTCAATCTCATTACTAAATCATCGTTTAAAGATAAGTTAGGTGGATAATTTCTAAAGCTGAAAGCCTCATGAAGAATTAAGGGCCACCGTTCGAAACCCCAGCTTTAGAAACTCTCTTCGGTGGACTATTTACATTATCGACTGAGTAGATAAGACCAAGTTATTTTAAAATGCCCTCTACCGACGCGGCACCACAGTTTTTTGTAGAAACTTATCACCCTTATTCGTTTCGTTATTATCTGCAGGTTAGGTATGCCGAAGATTTAGGAGTTCTAAAATCTAAAGGCGCTTGGCTGATTGGTTTTCTATCCATCACCTCAACGCTTGGTCGAGTAGTATTTGGCAAGATTTCCGACTTGACATTCGTCAACAGGCTCTACTTGTACCAATTTTCGATATTTTCCATTGGATTGAGCACTCTCTTGTGTCCTCTGCTCAAAAACTATGCAGGACTTGTGGGTTATGCTTTGATATTTGGATTCTTTGACGGATGTTTTGTGGGCCAAGTGGCGGTGATTACGGTTGATGTGGTCGGACGCGATAAGCTTTCTCAAGCAGTGGGAAACATGTTTGGAACTCTGGCGATACCAATGAGTCTTGGTCCTCCGCTTGCAGGTAATCAGCTGTGTGAAAGATAGTGAAATTTTCAATCAAATTTCTATTGTAATCCGGGATTGCCCTTATAGGGTCCGTAATTGATCTAAAGAATTTGCTCCACCCTCTTACTTAATTAGATGCGAAGCAAACCGAGTTCTTTATCTTTGTTTCAGTTGCTAAGACTGATCAGTCGATTCAGCCGTTCAAATGAAAAGGGTCGAGACTAACCTGAAGTTTGCACTCTGTTTTCAGGTTGGCTGCATGAAGTATTCGGTACCTATGATGAAGCATTTTATATAGCCGGTTCTGTGGCGTTATTTTCTTCGCTCATGATTTTTGGGGTGAACTGTATGATTCGAAAGCAGTCTATAGCAAGGAGGCAATTGGGATTTAAAAACGACACTTCTTTGAATATTTCTGAAGCTGAAACGGCATCTGACTCTGTTTACAAAAATACAGAATCACAGCCGATGCTGGAAGAGGAGCACATTGTCACTAATAAACTTTGCAAGCTTCACTGCGCATCAAGAACAAGCAAGGAACTTCTGGTGTTTGAGAGAGAAACTGTTTTATAGTATTTTTAGAGATTCTTCGATTACTGATAATGCAATTTTCAACAGAGTGTAGAAACTTGTCCAGGACTGCTTTGGTTTTGCTTTGCTTCGCTGTGTCCTTGGTCTAAAAAACTCGGCCTCTTTTCCAACCAATCAGATGCAAATCTTAAACCAACAGCGA